GGCACCTGGGGTCCCCCTGTGGCTGATTGCTGAGCTGGGGAGATGCAGAGCACTTTTCCCATCAGACCTGGAAGTGGACCAGAGGCACTTCTGTTCCACTTTCGGGTTCACCACCAAGCATGTTGAGGCCCCAACCACACTCCTGTGGGATGCTCCATGCGCCTCGGTATCATAGCGATCATGAGTTATGCCTGTACCTCGAGGTATGTAGAAAAAACTTTTAACGCTGTGCCTCTCTCTGAATCGCTGATTCTCTGAGTCAGCCCTGAATCTTCAGATTCGGCTGAATCGAATCAGGGACAGTGATCTGAATCAACAAATCGAATCACTGTCCCTGATTTGGGCCAAATCCAAATTCAAATCAAATAGGGCCCACTTTGCACACCCGTATTAGCTAGTATTCTACCCATGCTTTGGGGTTCTAACTAGGGAGATAACCCATGCAGCCTGGTTGGTTCCAGCTGGACTTTATACAATGCCAGATTTCTCTAGCTTTGTTCTGTAAGGGTGAATTTTACCCTTTTTTAAAGGGGCAAAATATACACCTGATATCTTTGATAGAAAGGCCACTGTAATTTACTATGAATGTCAACTATCAACTTCTGCTATTGCTTCATATTAAGTTGCAATACCATTAGGAAGCCATTAAACAAATTAGGAAACAGGTGCAGGCCAGCACGTGAGTACACATACTAGCTCTTTGTGGAACTAGGGGCCCTGACATGTTCATTTCAAGAAAGCATGGGATCTGATCTCTGATTCCAAAAAATCCTGCCTCCTTCCATGGCGCACACGCATGGCAGAAGGCACGAGGAGGGTCAGATCCTAATCACAACATTTCTTTTTGCCAGTACAGAGGGATCCCAGGATTATGACCCAGGCCTCCTTTGGCATGGGCAAGTTGAAAGCTAGGTGCCTGCAGCCCTGTGTGACCCAGGGCCATGGCTGGCAATCAGCTGACTGGGTCGTCTGCCCCAGATAGCCCTGATGTGTGGATATGCCACATGTTCAGTTTAAGGCAACAGACAAAGAAGCCATAAAATTATTCTACATTATATGTGGAACATTTTTATGGAGGCTTTTCCATGTTATGGTACTTTAAATTGGGCGCACCCTGTCATTCATAGCACAACCAACTCAATCATGGTATAGACAGAGGGGTCCCAACACGCTCCCTTGTAGTTTATTAGTATTCCAAGCAATGTTAGCAGTTTGATCACAGTGTTGATTTATAGTAAATACTGTTGGTAAAATTCAATGAGGCCAGTTATGAACTGACAGAACTGGTTCCATAGTCTGAATGCGACTACTTGAAGCACTCCATTACTCACTTGCCTCCTTAGCCCGCTTTTCTACATTTCAAATGCTTTCACGGTTGCAGGCCCTGATGCTGAAACTGGCTCTAGGCAGAAACAAGCACCCGTCTTAAAAAAAACTATGAAAGGATAAGGGCCTTAGAGACAGAGTTTTTGAGCACAGTTATTACTAACCCCATTAGTAATAGGACCAAGGTCTTAAACCAAATATTTATAGTTCCTAAGTTTCCTATGATGTTCCTTTTACCTATTTTCTAAGCAGAAAGCCTTGTTGATTTCAATAATGTATTTAATATACAACAGTCTATATTTCTTTTGAAAATGAGCAGACCCATATTATAAAATTTAGAATCCTAGAATTAGTAAAAAACAAAAGTATATGTTTTTAAACAGAAAGATGTTCCTATACAAAATCAATTCCTAGTGTAACCATCTGCCCGTACTTTCATATTAAAATACTATGCAAGGCCATACCCGTCTTGTGGTGCCAAAGAGATTTCAAGTTGGTGTTCTACTTAATTGAGAGATACATAAAACACTCCTTTTGTATTGTGAATTTCTGTAAATTCTTCCCTTCTCTACTATTTTATAACATTTGTATTTATTTATTTACAAGCCTGAGGCTTTAACATTTAGACTCTTGTTAATACCAATAGTTAAAACTGCAATGCTCAATCTCATGGCAGAATCTCTTCCTGGAAGAAATGAAGGAGTATAAACAAACAAACAAAAAAAGAGATTTCTTTTAAACAGGAATTGTCCAGTAGTTTCTTCAGGCTGATCCTGACCTCATTAAAACTAGAAACAAAGCTCCTGTTGGCATCAACGCAAACAAGACTGCATGTCATTAATACCCTTTTTAGAACTTCAGACCCGTTAAATGACAATTTAAACACAATAATTGTATTTTTAAAAAGACTATATATTCTGGGAGAGTTTAAGTACTGTCAAAATGTTCTTTTTAAACTGTCTTCTGCATTTTCTAGCCATATGCCTCCTTTGAAGTGCAGCTGAGCCTCTCTACTGACCTAAGCTAACAAGCCCCTTAGGATAGCATGGTATTTTCTTTCTTTTTCCTGTCCATCTAATTTTCATTTAAAAACCTAGAAAAAAGGCTTGAAGTAGTTTTCTCTTTAAAAAAAAAAATCTAGAGCTAATGCCATATATTCACATGCATGGTCTCTTTTAGAATCAAATTTGTGCCTACACTTTCTGTTCCTGAATTTTTGCACCTGTAAATTAATTGTAGGTATTTGCTTAAGGACTCATTCCTTGGCTCAGGGCAGGCCTATAGCTCACATGCAGCCAAAAGCTCAAGCTCTCAGCTTTGCATTCATAATCCTTTTTTGGTGGGTATAAAAATGTGAAGCTGGCTCCATCCCTTGTGAAAGCACACACTAGAGTGTGTAATGCTTAAGTTCAAGAAACATCCCTTTGCATTTTGTTCTAGATACAAATACTTCAAACAGTAAATTAGTGATGTAGAAGAGAAGGAGGATTTATTTAGCTGCATCTGATTCCTCCTGCGCTTTCTTCAGTACTAATCGTTCAAATTCAATTCCTGCTCTTTTTCAGTCTAATTTACTTTTTTTCAGAAATGAAGCAAATTTAATTCCAGATTTATTTATTATGGCAGGAAGAGAGGATGTGGTAAGGGACACATTTATACCACATGCCTGAGGAACAGAGAATTGGCAGGAAAAACAGACCTTCAAATGCAAAATTTCGTAAGAGGGAAGGAAAAACCTTACTTGGTCAGAAAAAAGCATTTTATAGCACAGTAGCAACCAGAAGTTAGTAGAATAAATGCTCACTTGGTGCTAGGTAAGGGGAATATGACCACAAAGGAAATAGGGCAAAACCAAGTGATCATTTAAAAGCCTGACCTATACAAAAAAAAAAAATGTTGCTCAACCAAAACAAGTTAAACAAAAGGAAGAGAGGAAGAGAGAAAGGAAGAGAATAAGAGAGAGCAGAAGTGTAAAATGTGTTACTTCTTTTAGACACTCCCCTGAATAGCTCTTGGAAGTGGTACAAAATACATCACATTGATTGTTAAATGTGAACAGCTTCCAGATCCAAGTAGCAAAAGTAAGAATTAATTTTAAAAGCATTGTACACACACATACACACTCATATGCAAGGAGGTTACAGAGCACCATAAAAATATTGGCTACCAAAACATTTCACATGTAGTCTGCTTGTTCTTATTTTTATTGAATTTGGCTCTTTCTGCCTTTATAATAATTACTGTGCTTCTTCAAATGTTTTATGGATGAGTCAGTTTAATAGAAATCCTGTAAACCATACCTTTGTGTCATGGCGTGCTGCTGAGACAGGAGTGACTTCTTCTTCTCTTTTCTTTTTGCCCTCTTCCTCATCTTTCTCTTCTTCTGCCTTTTTCTCTGGAGTCACAGTGGTTATCAAGTTGGTTTGAGAGATGCCCTTTGTTGTGGTGTACTGGCCAGTACCAACCTCTGCAGCAGACATAGAATCCTTCATGTACATTTCATGGTTTTCATTCACTGATGCTAAAAGCAAATATAATTTGAAGAGATAAAGTCTAAAATAAGCTTGTCCTGCAGGCCTGAATAAAATGAGAAGCTGGGTTAATAAAACTTGCTGAAAACATAAGAATGCCATGTTTCAGGAATCCAGAAACGTGTGTGTATGTGTACACACACACACACACACACACACACACACACACACACACACTCTTAAATAAAATTTGCTGCATGTTTACTCAAAACTAAAGATATGGGTTGTGTATGCATAAACACAGATGCACACATTATTTCTATGCACACTACATTCATAATGTGTGCATTTATGCATTATTATCCCATTAGCAAGCTTATATTATTAGGCAGGGAACAGAAGGAAAAAGACATTAATAACTTTAGCCATGAGTATAAGAGGAAGGGAAGTTTTTAAATCTGCCACAATAACTTAATGCAAAGCAAATGCTTTATAGATAGCTGTGTTGCATTACAGGAAATGACAATTGTAATGTATTTAATGTAACACATGCTTAACATCCGAGATTCAAGAAACAGCTCCCCTGCACCTTCTAAAAACCTTCTAGTCAAGTATGTTCACTATTTTAAAAAAATAATAAGTTAGAAAAATAGTGTGTTCAGAACAATGGGACTATTTATAAAACTATACCAATCAGGACATGGGCATGGTTGCATGGCTTTCCTATTAGTACTTTGGGTCTTAAATGGTCAATAAATATCACGAGACATATTAATTAATCCAATGTAAAAAACAGATTAACCAATACACTACAAATATATACCCATGTCCAGCACATGAATAGCTGCATTACCGTAAGTAGTTCCCAAATAGGTGGGATTATTCACCTGTATAAAGTTTCTCACATGCTTAACAGTTTATTGGATATCTGCTATAAAGCGATCACATATAATGCAGAATCACTTATGCATTACTACAACATAGGTAAGCAAATTTGAAAGAATACCAAAGAATCTTTTGTTCTCCTCTATTATTTTTAAGCAAATTAACACATCTCTAACTCTTGCAGCTCCCAAAATATCACTGGAAAGGCACTCATATTTCTTGTCTCTTAGATGAACTTTTTGGGGGTGAGGGAAGGAGGCCCAGCTTAAAGATCACAAACGATTAACATAAAAGTAAAGCGGAAGGATAACATGTGCTTTGAGATGCATGCACAGCAGCTGGGTCACCAGTTGCTTGGTAACAAGTATGAAGCATATTAAAAGGTTTAAAATTTATGCATGATAAGCAGCAAAAGTATCAATTTTGGAGAGGGAGATGGATTGTTATTAGTTTGTTTAGATTTTTCTCCTCCTCCTAACCTCAGAAATATTCATTGTGTATCATTTCTGCAGCATCTGTGATACCTATGGCCCTGGCAATCCTTACACTTAAGATATGATTAACCAGTTAATTAAATTAAGGGTGCAATAAAATAAGGAATAAGACACAAATTTACTGTATGAAAATTTAATAACTTTGTGACTGGTTCCCAGCACACCACTAAGCAAATGCCTGGCTAGCCCCATGGGCTTAGATGTGCTCCTGGGGCTGGGAGTCTAGTCAGCTGATTGGGGCTCCTGTGACCGGAAGCCCTGATAAGCTGATCAGATCTCCCAGTCCTTGGACCTCATGGAGTCTTTGGCCCAGGTGGGCTTCTAAAGTCTGGAGCTTGACTGGGGACACCAGGCACCCAACCTGCTGCTGCAGAGGGATCCCAGGATCATGATCCCAGACCTCCCCATCCCCTCCCCACACCGGCAATATGGCGTCGTTGGGATCCCACTATCATGCCTCCCGCTATGTATGTGTGACATGGCAGATGTGATTATTGGGATGGCGGTTCAGACCCCATGGTACCTTTAACTGAACATCTGCCACGGGCCTATTTGTCAGCATTCAGTTTTTAAAAATATTTAAACTTCCATAGAACACCACCACTTATTCATTTAAACCTGGGAGAAAAGGAGCCTGGTTTGCTATACAAATCAGAAACATACCAACAGACATAACCCCCCGGCCCCCCCAACCAAACCAAACCAAACCATATATACCAAAACAAACAAACAAAACAAACAAAACAAACAAACAAAAAATCAATGCGAACCTTTCTGAGCAGCCCAAAAAAGGACTTAATTACTGAGGAGGGTCTTTTGTAGTCTTTAAAACTAGGAACCTGGTTCTTTCCCTGTTCTTCCTGGAAAAAGACTGATTACAAAAGAGGACTTTGCTACATCTCTTTTCCTTTGATGGCCTAAAATCCAGCACCCAGCTCGAACACCAATCAGCCTGAGCTCTATGATGGGTGATAAGGCCTGGCTTTGTACCAGGAGGCAAGAAGAGAGGAGCTGGATTACACAGATTGCTGTAGGGACTGCTCAGATTCACACAACTGACATTGGCAGTAAGAAGCCAAAGTTAATATGGGTAAAATTTCTGAGTCTTGTTTCCGCTGTGTGCACTTTGTGTTCTTAATACATAAATGGACAGCAGTACTAGGTAGTACTACCCAAAGCAGCCAGCACACAGGGGTAAAAGTGGAAGTTGAGAAGCTTCCTTTAACTTCCCAGTCCAGAACTGACTGCAGACAAGAGATTATGGATGGTATTTTCAGAAGTGTTTTGGTAACAGGGAAGGACAAGTCCCTTTGAAAATGAGTGAGACTTGTGCTTCTATGTCAGTCAGGAGCACTGAATACTTTACTTGGTCAGCTTCACTTGAGCAGGAGTTCTAGGGCGCTCCGTCCTAAATCACAGCTTTAAAAATCTGACTATTAATATGTATAAAAAAAATTAGTTCTCTTCCCAGATTGCGCAAGCTTATTAAAAGCAGCAGAAAGGGTATCTACTTACAATAAAGAGTTAACATGCATATACTTACAGGTCTCATTCAGAAGAAGCTCAAGGGATATGAGATTACAAAAGGTTTATATCTATTTTCTGCTAACACTCATTTCAATTAGAATTTGTGAGCAAGTCCAAGGAACACAATTAAAAGGACCTTACCCCCATCTAAACTGCGAGACATAGTGTAACGTTTACTAGAAGAACGCTCAAAATAGGGTGCAGGTCGATCTATTAATGCACTGGCTCTTCTTGTCTGGGCTTGTGTTCTTCCACTGTAGCGGAATTTGGAACCCAATGTAAGGAATTTTTTTGGAGGTGCCTCTGGTAACAAGAGCCTAAAACACAGAATGGTGCAAACATTTCACATACAAAGAATTTTTGGGGGGAGAAAAAGGTAGAATGTTTCATGTCACTTCTTTAAGGGTGCAGAGAGAAGTAACTTCTGAAACTTTTCCAAGCATAACAGGCTTGGAAACGTTCCAAAAAATGTATTGGTTTAGCCATAAGATGCATATACAGCCCCCGTGGTGCCACCTGGCTAGAGCACTTCAAAACTACTGCAGTTGCATGTAGATGAGTCTCTCCAATCAGGCGACCGTACAGGAGGCTCTGCTGACTAGCAGATCTGCTCCTGGCTTCTTGGGGGTGAAAATGGGAGAGTCAAGGATGTTTTGAGTGCCAGAGCAAAGAGGTCAGCAGAGATTTGGAAGCAGGGGTAGTAGGAAAGGCAGTGGGAGCCTGTGGTTGTAAGAAGAGGCTCCCTGTCTCCCTGCTGCTGGGATTCTGACCCTCCAGCACCACATTCCCCAAAAACTCTTCTCTTCCCCTCTCTCCAGAACAGAGAGGTAGAGGGGACTGGGACTGGACAGCCTGGCACTGGTGATAGAGGGGGGCCTAGGAGTCAGCAGGTGTCTGGCAAGGGAGAAACAGAGGAGCATGGGTGTCTCTGGTAGTCATGCAAGGTCATAGCAGTGCCCTGGAACCCAGCAGTACCCTCAGTGCCAGCATGGCCAGGACCCAGGATGACCTGATAGCTGGACAATCTGCCAGACTGTGGTCTGCCAGACCATCAGTCAGGGTATTGGTCCTGTCCTCCCTCCCTTGTGGAATGGGGAACAGGGATGAGAGGGGAGCATAACTATTCTGGAGGACATATGGGTTCTCAGTCCTTGTACGAACATACCAAGGAGTGAAATGCTTCAAAATAGTACCTTATTTCAAGGGATTCTATTTTGAAGCATTTCAGCCACCTTTGGAACATTTCAAAGGACATGCATGTTTGTACATGCTGGTATTTTAAAGCAGTTCAAAGGTGTTTGAAACATTCTAAATGTTGCTTCTGTTCACACCCAAAATCTGTATTTTGTAAAACTGGTTAAAAGGGAAACACAGATCATGTTGTCAATATTACATTGCAAAATTACTTAGTCATTAGGAAATGGAAAAGCAGTTTATTCTAAGGCCTTACAGAGAAAAAAATGAAGTTAACCAATTAATATGTTCTTGTTTTAGTATCAAGAGAGACATTTTCTAGCATCAACTTTCTCCAGTCATCAAAATAGAGTTGCCACGGTTTCAGAAAATGTCAGCTATGCTGCCTGAAACCAAGGTATGGGTGAGTGGCCCCTGGATTTGAGCCTGATTCTCAATGTAGAGAAGGCCCCACATGCTAGGTGTTGGAATTCCTTGATTGGCAGAATTTGCTACAGAATGTTCCTCCCTTGCCATAGAATAATTTCCAGAATCCAACCATTCGTTAAAAAACACCAACCAACCAAACAATATTTGCACACAACTGCAAACTTTCCAAATATAAATTAAATGTAAACAATGAAGGAATTTCTGCCTAGGTCTGAAGACAGCCTGAAGCAGAAGCTGAGAAAAAATGTGAAATGATCCATTTATCTTAATTATGTACGTTACAGAAGTACCCAAGGAAGGCAGGCAGCAGCTAATTACTGATTGCCAATCAGAACTGGTTGTCTTTAGGTGATTTTGAACACACTACCTTCTTTTGTTGACATAAATAAATACTGCCAATTAATTGCCGATTATCTCAGAAACCATCCAGGTAGTATACTTATCCTGCAATTCCAACCTTCCTTCCTTCACAGATGCCAAAAACCCAGCTGTCACTCACAGCTGCCAACTTCAGATTCTCCTGGTACATTAAATGATGAAAATTATAGACACACTAAAATAAAACAACCCAAGGAACATAGCACTGATTAAATATTGTACTTTCATATTTAATTAAAATCAAAATCATATCTTCTTTAGGTTTACACATACATGTGAAAGGATTTTTCAAAAAGTTGTACGGCTTTACAAGCAGGAGCTAATATTAAAGGCCAAATTTGCCACAATCCTTTAACTGCAGCTGTTAGAAGCTAGTTGACAGTACTGTGGTGCAACTGAAGTAAACGATCTGGATTGTGCAATATGCTTAAAAATTCAGTAGGTATTTGAAAAAGCATGAATAAAATTGGTAAATCACAGATACTTTGTAAACAGCAACCTTTCCATTTTATTGTAATGGACCAGAGATCAGAAATAATGGAATCTGATGCTGTTTGTCCTTGTTAAAAAAAAGGGGGGGGGGGGGG